ATGTTTTCCACTCTTCTTTCTTGCCATTTGTTTTATTTTCCTTGTTGGTATTTTTGCATGAATTTTTTCATTATTTGCATCTCCTTCTTCTTTGTTTTCCACAACAACCAATGCCTTTGTCATGTCCTTATCATTGTCTGATGATCCATTGTCTGATTCTACAATTTGTATATATGTATAATCGAAATAAATTTAAAAGAACTTTAAGTATATTCACAGTTTAAGAGGTTATTAAAAAAAGGAAACATTTTGAATAGAATGTTTAAGATATTAAAATATATGTAATTACATTTTACATACATATCCATGTACGTACATATGTATGTTTGTACATACATAGATATACATATGTACATATGTACGTACATTTAAACTGTGAATATACATATGAATGTATGTACATATGTACATACATAGCTTTAAACTATGAATATACATATGTATGTATGTAACATATGTGTGTGTATATTAAATTTAGATTGTGAATATACATATGTATGTATATACATATGTATGTACATAAATTTAGATTGTGAATATACATAGTTCATACATACACATATGTACATATGTATATATGTACATACATACGTGCATACGTATGTATATATACATATCTATATATGTATACATATGTATATTAACAATTTTTACATATGTATAATCGAAATAAATTTAAAAGAATTTTAAGTATGTTCACAGTTTAAGAGGTTATAAAAAAAATGAAAGATTTTTTAATATAATGTTTAAGATATTTAAATATATGTAATTACATTGTACATACATATCCATGTACGTACATATGTATGTTTTTACATACATAGGACATACATATGTAAATATATACATACTTTTAAACTGTGAATATACATATGAATGTATGTATATATATACATCCATTCTTTTAAACTGTGATTATATATATATCTATTCGTATATCTATATATATATATATATATTATATATATATATCTATATCTGTAAGTAATATGTATGTATATAAATTTAGATTGTGAATATACATATGTATGTATTTACATATGTATGTACATAAATTTAGATTGTGAATATACATAGTTCATACATACACATATGTACATATGGATGTATGTACATACATTTGTATATAAATATAAATTGTAAATATACATATATGTGTATATATACATAGATATGTAGATACATGCATATGTATATATACTTAAACTGTGAATATACATACATCTATTATATAATATATATATATATATATATATATATATGTACATAGATACATATGTACATATACATAAGTATATTCACACCTTAAATGTACGTATATATTGTGCATTCACAGTGTAATATATTATTTATAGTCTCATAGTTTAATTTTTATTTTATATTTTTTCTATTTCTTCTATTCTTTGAAGATCAAATAATATGTTTTAAATTTGTTTATTCACATCTGTTTCAGTTATTCAATTAAAAATCAAAACCAAAAAACATATGTAGTAGAATATTATTATAATTCAAATATTTTTTTTTTATAATCATGTTTTACCTTCTACTGTAGAATGTTTCTTTTCTTCTGATTGATGAATATGCAATCCTTTAAGCTTTTTGATTGTAGTCTTGGTCATCACAGGTCTTGTATTCTCTCCTGCTAATGTCATAGCTTACATCAAGTCATATATTAATTGTTTAATATATTTTAATTACATAATTTTGCAATTATTAAATATTAATATACATTTTGATTATTTGAATTCATTTTTTAGTATAATAGAATACATTATTTTTTTTTAAATTCACAGTTTAATAATTTGATGTATACAGACAAATACTAATATGAGTCATCATTCATATTTATCTTTCCTAAATATATTTAAATAACATATAAATTTTACATTCACATTCTAAAAAAAACATATATACACATTTTCATTCTCTAAAATATGAAAAGTAACATTTATATTATTATATTCACAGTTTAATTAAACTATTTATAGTCAACCTAATAGTATCATCTTAAAATATATTAGAATCATATATTACATTTAACATTAAACATGTAATAAAATCATTTATATACATATTTTTCTAATAATTTATCATTTTCATTTGTATTAAATCAAATCTGAGTTTGTAATGATATGTTCACTGTTTAACATATCATATATTTACAAAATAACATAGATTAAGATGACGTTTGTTTTAAATGTTTTTGTAACAGTGTATTTTATATTTATTTAAACATTATAAAACAGAATGCATGTTTCGTTAAACATTGTTAGAAGTTTTGAAATAAAATACCTTGTGTTACTTCGTTCGTTTTGACTCTTATCTCCATGTAGGTTTTGCTTTTGGAGAAATGCTTTCGGAAGCATTTTGTTTTTCCGTTTCAACATTTTTGATTGTTAGATGTTGTGATTTTGTTGTCGAAATCTTCGATTTGAGACTTGAAACTTTTTTTGCTTCTAGTTGTTGTTTCTCCAGGGTTTTCTTCTCTTTTTCTTCTTCGGATATTGTTTTTTCTGAAGAATCTGTACTCGATATAGTTCCTTTAGATTTTGAAGACATCTTTTGCTTGATTTTTGAAGAATCGGTCGATGTTGTTTAGATCGAGTCTTTGAAATGGAGGTTTGTGAATGTGAGTTTTTTTTAAAAAAAAGTAAATCGGGGCTGTGATTAGAAATGAATGAGACTAGGTGGTTTTTGACGAGATGTTTTCTGCTGCAACCGCCTTTTCCTATTTTTTTAGTATTACATGAATAGCCCATGTTCTATTGGAAAAGTACAAAATATATTATATAAATATATGTATTAGCTTTTAATGAGAGTATTTTATTATTTGTTATTTACCCAAATCCGTAAAACGCTAATAAATTTGTTTTATTTACAAAAGTGGCACAGGTCATTTATTAATATAATAATTTGGATTCTTTTTGTTTTAACATAACTACAATATTGATATTTTTGTATTTTAACAATTATTTCTTCAACTTTGGTCTTTGTAAATTTTGTTCCATTTTTGAATTTTTCCTGGTTATATCATTTCAATTAATTTTTTTAAGTATTTGTTTCAAATATTTAAGTATTATTAGTAAATAATTTGTTCAAAGTTTAATATTTAAAAAAAATTATATATCATGTAAAAGATTACAGTAAAAATTATAGTATATATATTGTTCATTAAAATTATTTTAAATTCTATAACATATATTTAAAAAAGAATCACATTTTAAATAAAAGATGTATTGTAGATTCGTTTATACAGTTTAATTTTTTATATAAAACATTGATATTTCATTATAAATTTTTAACATTCATAGTAATATAATGTTGAAATTCTCATATATGTAAACAATAGATTTATCAGTACTAATACAAATATTTTTTAAAAAATTTTATCTTTTTTTTTTAATTTCAAAAATTCAATTCGCAACTTAATTCTTTAGTCATTTTGTAAACATTCACAATTGTCTTATATATATCAAGTGCATTCAAATATTTTTTAAAATATTTTATCATTTTTTTTTAAATTTAAAAAATTCAATTCACAACTTAATACTTTATTCATTTCGTTTTAATTTAAACATTCACAATTGTCAAAGTTATGATAAACATTCATTTTCTTAATAATTTTTATATCAACATCAACAATTAACTAAAAGTTCATATTTAGCTAAGAAAATATATCATTCCAACATGTTCACCATATGTGCAAACATTACCCAAAATAAAAACATCATAAACACCATATTTGTTCAACTAGATAGAAGTCTTCAATAAAATTTAACATTCATAGTAATATAATGTTGAAATTCTCATATATCTAAGCAGTAGATTCATCAGTACCCCATGATAAAAAAAACAGAAAAAAGTCAAAGTGTTCTCAAAATAAAAGTTTCATAAATCATTGTTATCTTGTTTGTTCCTTGTTTTTTTTAAAATTCTAAACATCTTCCATGAGCTTAAATCTTTCCTTATACTTCTGCATTGCATTCTTCACTAATGTTTTTTTTTCTCTTCTTCTGTTTTTTTATCAAATTGCATTCCTTCATCAATTATTATTTTTTTCTATTTAAGTTGATGTCATTCAGTAGCATTTTTGTGAGATACTTTAATCTTAGTTTAGTTAATTTTTCTTTCTGTTCCTTTTGATCCTTTTCAATGTCACAATCCCATCTGCTCCCAGCCTGTCCTTGAAAACATTCCATGTCTCATTAATGCCACTCCATTTTCCTCAAAATTGATTTTTAACCACCATTTGATTTTAAGTACTGAAATTTCTTTTGTAAGCAAATGAAATGCTTTTTCGAATCCTCTTTCGATGATAAAATTTGCCATCAATTCTACCTGTATTACAAAGAAAATAAATTTACTCATTTTGATAATTCACAGTTTAATTTGGAATAAATATAAATAATTAATTCTTACCAAAGATTGTGGTAATAGCCCATATTCAACATTAACATTCGGCATTCCTTTATGACTATCAATCAAAACTACTGATATCTTTTTGAGATTTATACATAACAAATAGTAATGCATTTTCTTCTTGATTGGAAAGAATAGTTGCATTTATATTAAATTCTAAACTGTCAATATATATATATATATATATATATATATATATATATAATATAAAAGATTGTTGTAACTTACAAATCCTAGTTTATCAAAATCATGTGCATATGGATGGAATTTCATTGTTTCTGTTGCTTTTTGATCACAACATTTTACATCTGTCATCCATTGGTATCTCCTCATTTGTCATGTCTTCAGTCTAATTACATATATTAAATATTTTATTTTGTTAGAATTTTGTTAATCTATTAACATATATATACATAATATAAATGTTACTTACTATGATTTCTGTTGGAAAATAAAATCTTAATGGAGATCCCTTTTGTTTTCTGCTCTCCTCATCATTTAACAGAATTGACCAGCAATCAATGACTTTGTGGTGGATGTAGGCACCTGGGATTAATGTTTAAAAGAAAATTCTTTCTACTGCATCCCCATTTCTTGTTCTGAATATGATTTCCCTGTTAATATTTATTAAGTTGTGAATTTATAAAAAAATAATTTTTGTTTCATAAATTACATTTAATTAACTTTTTATTAGAAATATATACTTACTTGTGGTTGCTTTTCATTGAAAATATTGAGTTTGCAATTAGTATCTCTGCATTAAATACCATGTCTTTTGCTTCCACTGTTCAACCACTGTAATGAGTGAAGTAAGTTTCTGTTGGAATGATCTTTCTTTTTTCTTTTCTGATCCTTTTTTCTTCATGTTCCTCTTCAATAAAAATTTCTTTTCCTTTCCCTTTATTTCCTCCTTTTTTTTGTTTGAACTTGCTCTTCATCTTTTTTTTTTGTTCTTTGTTTTTATGTTCTTTATCTTTGCTTGATCTTGTAGCAGCTTTAGGAGAGTTTACATCATATTTGATATTTGGGGTTAGTCCAAGTGAAAAAGATGGTTGAGAAGATGGTTTTTGAACAGATGGTGTGCAAGTTATTTCATCTTGTTTTTGTTTTGGAGTTGTAGTTAAAGCATTTTTGTTTAAGCTTTCTTCAACAACTTTGTCAACCAAAGCATAAATTGTTGGTGACTCTAATGTTGGTGTGAAAGCTGGTGATTTTGGAATAGATTGAGAATCAGTAAGTGATGGTGTTTTTTGAGTTGTATTGACTGTCTTCTTCTTCAGTTTCTTCCTGTGTGGCTATTGTTTGATATATACCCATTTCTTGATGTTGTTCTGTGTGACAACCCGTAATTTCAAATATTGTAAAAGTCAAACTTGGTCAAACTAAAGTCAAACTTAACCAATAAAGGTCAAACTTATTTCTTTAATTATATTAATATGGTTAGATTAATGAGTTTGTTGTATAGACCTTATATTCAAAGGTGTTGTGTGTTTAAGGAAGGAAACATTTGGAACCGAGAACCTTCGCATGAGCCGCAAACCCTCGCATGGATGGTAAACCCTCGGACCGCAAACGGTTTGCAGCCGTAAACCTTCGGTTCGCAGCCGTAAACCCCCTTCGGACCACACACTCTTACCCTATATATATATATATATATATATATTATATTATATATATTATATATATATATATGTTTGACTGAATTAATCCTCACTTCACACTTCTAGCCGAAAACTCAAGCTTTTTCTCTCAAGATCTTCAACCGAAAACCCCTAGTTTTCTCTCAACTATCATCCGAGGATCATTTGATACACCTTCGGATCTTGATAAGAACATCCATTGTTCTTCTTTTTTCATCGATCAATCACCCTTCATTTCTGGGTTTACAGCCGTAAACCCTTGAATCTCCTTGGTTTCACCAAGAACACCAAGAGCACACACTTGAGTTTCCAGCCGAAAACACTTGAATCTTCAAGTGGCCGTGAACCGTTTACGGTCGTAAGCACCGAAGCCATCCGTGAACTCCAAGCAATCACTCAATTTTGCTTCTAACACTTCTTTTGTAAGTAATTCTTACATCCTAGGTTGTTTCCTTAACACCTTTGAGGTTATATTCACTAATTTCATGCCTATATATCGCGTGAAATGCATGTTAGGACTTATTTTGTCTCGGGATTTAACTTATAGAAGCAATCATCCTATTTCGAACATCCTAATGAATCACTAACTTAAG